GCACATCTGTAATAGTCTCCATCTGGTATGAAAAGAAGCTACTCTCATGGGGGCCAGGGCTGAGAGCCACACATACTTGTGGGTGCAAGGTTATAGTATTTATAATTCAGTTAGAATTTCTGTTGGTTTAGGAAACTGGCAGTATTAGGTTCTTCTGTAAGATCTAGGTCCTCTCTAGCCATGGGCATTTGACTAGGTTTAGAGGACATGGCACAAAATCCCTCTTATTGAGCAGGTATTATGTTCAATTAGATAGTAATTGACTACGCCCAACATAAAAGTGCTACGGTTGGAGAAATAGCATTTCCAGTGTCCCACACCTAATTCGTCATGAAACTCAGTAATTTAGCAGTAGAGTATCTCTTCAATCTTAATGAGGTTATATACAAAGAAGACTGAACTTATTCCTCATTGAATTAAATTTGTGTCAATAACAGTAAAGGATGTTTCATAAATATTACTCTGTAGGTGGGCGAAGTTTAATATAGGTTTTCCTTATCATCATGTACCAACTGGCTTTTACATTCTTTCAGTCCTCTTTTCCACAGTGGTCCCTGAGCCATGGGTGGGCGAGGTTTAATACAGGGGTCCTATCCAGGGACATGCACTCTGTAGGTGGGCGAGGTTTAATACAGGGCTCCTATCCAGGGACATGCACTCTGTAGGTGGGCGAGGTTTAATACAGGGGTCCTATCCAGGGACATGCACTCTGTAGGTGGGCGAGGTTTAATACAGGGGTCCTATCCGGGGACGTGCACTCTGTAAGTGGGCGAGGTTTAATACAGGGGTCCTATCCAGGGACATGCACTCTGTAGGTGGGCGAGGTTTAATACAGGGGTCCTACCCAGGGACATGCACTCTGTAGTGTCTTCTCTTCTACCCTTTGGTCAATTGTGGCCTTCTGTGTTCATCTCTCTCTGGTGCATGCGAAGCTTTGCTGATTAGACTTGAGAGATACATTAGTAGAGCAGTCGCCGTTCATCAAGGAAGCTCCTCATGCAACAGATGGAGACTACTAGAGAGTTCCACAACTGCTCAGACATGAGTTTCTCCTTTTTATCCTAGCTTTTGTTGATAGCATCAGCCCCAAAGAATGCTCCTGTGACATTTTCTCTCTTGCTGTACATGAGACTAACCAGTTCAACTTGGCTTTTTCACAAACAAGTCTCTAACAAAGATACCAGTCCAGCTGATAGAAATATGATCAGAGGTAAAAACTTCAACTTTTGCTGGGAACAAGGATTTACTGTGCCATAATCCACTGCTGATGGACTTTCGCAGCCCGTAAATATCAAATATAATGAATAAAGGAATTGGTGTTATAATTACTCAAGGAATCAGCATCCTTTTATTTTCTACCCTCATTTTCCAGGAAACCTGGTAACTGAGCATTCCCTTTCATCATTATGGCCATCCCTCATCTTGTCGCAGGGGAGTTCGTGGTTTTCCGTAGACATTTCCTTCATCCTACGCATCTAAGTCATTTCTCAATGAAATACTGGTGGATAAAGAGACACGGGAATCCCCGCTGTCTCACAGCAGCCTGCACTTCAACTCCTTCTCTGCTGAAGTCCTGGCTCTGTTGCTCATGATAGACTCGGCCTGGCTCCACCTCAGACTAGAGTTTAGTGATGGGTCTGCTGCCAGGGTTATCACTCTGGACTCAGCATCTCCCGTCAAGTCAAGGTAGAGATAAGACTGCAGGATGGATGAGAGAAATCAGTTTATGACAGACGCACAGCCACGGCAGGCCTCATTCATGTGCTAAGTCAGATGGAGGTGTCCAAATCAGATGGTGGAGTCGATGTGTCTCCTTGTATGTGTGTTATACTGGGGTTAAGCTGTAGACACAAATCTCAGACAAGATGATGAAAATAATGAATCTTATGGATGCCTTCTGGACTTCTCTCCTAGACTGCACAACAGTTTCCTCATATCTGAAGACAGTAGTGTTGAATTGAATCCAGGTCACATATATACCACACAAGAACTCTAGCACTGAGCCACTTCCCTGAACTAAGAAGAGCCATGTTAACCTGTACTCACGTGTTGGATACAGGACTGTTCACAATAGACAAGACACTGAATCACCTGAGTCCATCAGTAGGCGAATGGATGAGTAACTAAATGTCATACGTATCCTCAATGAAATAGAATGTTTGAAATAGTAAGAAGGAATTCAACTTGCGAAAACTTGAATGAGCCTGGATGATAACAAGTGAAAATCAGCCATCTTTTATATAAACCACGGTAATTTATGCTGATGAAAACATCAATGACGTCCAAACCTCTTCACTTGGTAACTCAAGCAAATTTTATGTTCTTGACATGACATTTGCAACTTATTCTCCATTGTACATTTTTGTACACATTTCTCAAAACCCACTAACTTTAAATTTATGTAATTGTTAGTAAACGATGCATTCATTTTCATGAGTCAGGGTGTCTAATCATACCAATACCACTCTGCTTTGGTATCTACAAATTTGGAACATAATTTAAGGTTCAATAATAGAATGTCTCTTGATTTTTCTCTGTTCATGGATGGTCTTAGATATTCAGAGTATTTCTTCTTTCATAAAAATTTTAGAGGTGACTTTCTTTTTTTCTTGTTGGACATCTATAATTATTTACATTAACTGGCATCTTGACAACACCTAGCAGCACCTAAGATTTAAATCCCTGGGTATGACTATGAGGGATTATCTGGATTAAGTTATTTGGATTGGAAGGACACAGCTTGGAGTTGAACAGCATCATTCCCTGGAACGGTTGCTGGATTCTTGAAAGGGAGAAAACCAACTGGCCCACAGCATTCATCTGTCTGCTCCCTCACCATGGATCCAATGTGACCACCTGCCTCAAGCTCCTGCTGCCATGATGTCTCTACCACAATACAATACACCCTCAAACCATAAGATGAAATTAACTGTTCCATAAATTACATTTGTGTGAGAATTTTTCACAGTAAGAGAAGATATCATTCACATAAAAACATACAGTCAAATTCCTAAATTTAATCTATAATTAAACTGAGATTTACAGGTTTTCTCTATAAGATTTTCAAGTTACAATTCATTCTATAGAGCTAATACATTAGGCATGGTTAGGGTATTGTGTACGCTAAGGACCTAAACTTGAAAGAATGAATGGCCCTAAACGTTATGTCATGTATAGCTATGTATAAGGATATGAATTTAGTGTTGTGTTAAGATTAGACATAATTTATAAATTCATGGTGTCCTCTACTATTTTATATATTTTCCCTTTTTCATTTTTCAGTTGTCACACCTCACTCAAACATTCCCAGAAACAGAGAACCCAGTAAACAAGGAAAGGAATGACTGAAGGCACAACAAATGGCTAATGTGTGTTTGTGTAGGAAACCAGGATGCCAGGCTCTAGGGTGAAATGAGCCTAAAACCTTTAAGTCCAGGCTGCATTCTACAGATCCTCAAACAGCCTTAAGAGTAAAAATAAATTGGTTTATCTGGGCCAACTGTATGGTCTTAAATACCCAAAAGGGAAGTATAAACAAAGATTAAAGGGGTCAATTGTAGGAAACCAGGATGCCAGGCTCTAGGGTGAAATGAGCCTAAAACCTTTAAGTCCAGGCTGCATTCTCTGCTAAAGTGAGGGGCACTGAAAACAGTGGCTCTGATAATCCCTGTCTTGCAGAACACTGTGAGACTGGCAGGAGGAGTGGCCTGGTCATAAGTGCAGACTCCTTGCTCTGTGGGACAGCATCTTGGTCAACAACCCTTAGCTCATCTCCTTGTCCTGAACAAATAACTCAGATACCCTTGGCTAAGAGATTAGGCCAGGTTAAAGGTTTACTCCTGAGCTAAAAACTTAAAGTTTACCATGCTTTTAGATCTAAAAAAGAAAACAGTGTGGCCAATAAACTGCAGGATGGGCATTGATAACCTTGAGTAAAAGTTTAAGAATCCTTCTGGTGCCAACTAACAGACTATATGTCCCGTTGTTTTGTACCCCAAGTCTTTGTATGTGACTGCCATTTCCCACCTGACTGCCAGTTCCTTGGGAATGTATAAAAGCCATCTGAATTTTGAAATGAACAGCTTGTTGAAAAGACACAAATCCCAGGGTCCAAGACTCTGTTGCCAATCCAGTCTCTCTGCCCCGAAGCCAGTAGGTCCCCCGCTGAGCTGAGTCCCGATGTGTTTGGCCCGTGTGTTTCATGGCAGTTTGTGCTAGCACATATTGTAAGCCTTTTTTTTTTTCAAAACATTTATAGGTCATGGGGTTTCAGATAGGGGCTGTCTTCCTTCTCCATTGCCCTAGGCTGATGAGTGAGGATCTCGTTCTAGTTGTCAGTTCTCCCAGATTTTGTTCATAGTGTCCATGATGGTGATGCCAGCACAGCCACAGAGCTGCACATCGTTCTATGTACTTCCAGTGTCCAGATACATAAGAAGGTACTACTTTGGAGAATTCCCAGGAAGGTCCTTTCAATGCATAAACACACCCACACTTTGCAGATAGGCACAGAGGCAGAGATAATGACAGGGCAATCTGCATTTCTAGGGTGTGCATTTTCACCAACTCTGATCTTGTGTAAATCATTTATATAAATATTCAAAATTAAGCAATTCCTAAATGGTCTGCTGAAGGGAGCAATCTGCATGCCTCAGTGAGCATGTTCATCTCTATCCAAGAGTGACTCGTGGGAGCCAAGGGTTTCTTTGGTTAGAAGCACAGTCTCTCACACTGTCCTAAATCCAACAGGGGAAACATTGAACATGTTATATAACCCATCTATAAGATGGTGGTACTGTCCTGTCTGTAAAACTTTATTTCCACTACACTAATCTAGGATATGTGACCTGCTCTAGGACTGCAGTTTCCAGACATCAAACCCCAGACCTTGCTATATAGCAGCAGGTCATGCAAATAAGGCTTCCCTGTGCTCATGAAAACCAGCCCAGCCCTGACCCTGCAGAGGAGCCCAGCCGTGCACTCCCAGCTCTTCCCACTCAGTGATCAGCACTGAACAGACTCACCATGGAGTTGGGGCTGATCTGGGTTTTCCTTGTTGCTCTTTTAAAAGGTAATTTATGGAGAATTTACTGAGTGTGTGAGTGGACATGCATTAGAGGGTCATTGAGAATGCCTGGTACATTCCTTACTATGATTGTTTGAATTTTCAGGTGTCCAGTGTGAGGTGCAGCTGGTGGAGTCTGGTGGAGGTTTGGTGCAGCCTGGGGGATCCTTGAAACTCTCCTGTGCAGCCTCTGGATTCACCTTCAGTGATTATGTGATGAGCTGGTTCCGCCAGACTCCAGAGAAGAGGCTTGAGTGGATCTCAGCCATCAGTAATGATGGTAGTGGTGATTGTTTGAATTTTCAGGTGTCCAGTGTGAGGTGCAGCTGGTGGAGTCTGGTGGAGGTTTGGTGCAGCCTGGGGGATCCTTGAAACTCTCCTGTGCAGCCTCTGGATTCACCTTCAGTGATTATGTGATGAGCTGGTTCCGCCAGACTCCAGAGAAGAGGCTTGAGTGGATCTCAGCCATCAGTAATGATGGTAGTGGTACAGAATACACAGAATCTGTGAAAGGCAGATTCACCATCTCCAGAGACAATGCCAAGAACACCCTGTACCTGCAAATGAACAGGCTGAAATCTGAGGACACAGCCACTTATTGGCCCTGATGACACCCTGAACTCGGCCTCAGCCCAGAGCAGGGACAGAGGGCAGGAAGGGGTGGACTCCCCCATGTCAAGGCTGCCTTCCTGTGTCAGAGAACAGTTTTTACTGGGCACTTATCTAGAATAAAGGACTGTACTAATCACTGATGCAAATCTGAATATATTTAAAAGTTTTGTTTTTCACTGTGATGTATACATCAAACTAGATGATGCACTTTGATCTGAATAAGCTTCAGAGCATCACACAGGGCATAAGTGACACAGCTGCTGTGGTCTGTGAACCATGAGTTCTGATAATCTTCACTCTCATCATGTTTTTAACACAAAGAGTGAACATCAGACCCAGCACTGATCCTGCTGACCCTGCTGACCTGCTGGTTAAAAAAATTGTGTTAGCGGCCATTCGTCTACCACTGACAGGAGCTGAGCCTCAGTTACCTGCTGGCGGCTCATGAGGAACACACTCTCCACGGTACCCTGTACCTCACTTCCCTTCACAGGTGTTGGCTGCAGGTCCCAGGGTCTGTCCTTTTCTGTGGATATCTGTATGTAAATATTTTTATCTCTCTTGTTCTCAGTGTTTGGGCACATAAAGTACACTGCATTTCAGTAGCCCAAGGGCTTTCTTTCCCCCAGGCTTCCTTCACAGAGTTTTTATTTATGGTGGTCCACTATCACTAGGCATATTGTCTCGGACCCTGGGGACCTAGATTTGAAGCTCTGGTGTGCTCAGCAGTGTGTTCTGCAGACCCCAGGAAAGGACAGTAAGTCCATTTCATCCACAGTCCTGGAATCATCTCTGTGGGCTCACTGGGAAGAGCAATTGGATAGTCAAAGTAAGGAGATGATGTTTGTCAATTCATGTTTGAGGTCAACTGGGAAATTGCCTTCCTTTGATCAGACTGTCATGGAGTTGTCTAACTTGTGCTTATGGCAGAGCTGAAGCTTGGACCCCCTGGTGTCCCATGGCTCTGGGACAGGTCAGCAGCTGAGCTGGGTTTCCATATCTCTGCTTCAGGCAGATCCTGAAGCTGCTTCTACAAAGAAATTCCTCCTTCTCCTTCGTGAGCTGACGATATCACATCCATTCAGATGTGTGAAGACAGTCTTCCTGACTTAGAGGAAACTGAGACTTTAACACCATGCACACAGCACCTTCACAGCCACACCTAGACTAGCATACAATTCCATAACAGTAAACCATTCTGTAGCGAGACTGATACTTGAGACAAAACATTTGTATGGTGAGCTTCATGTTTGCCAATAGACCATGGTTCAGGGTCCTAAAAAATACTTCTGAATGTGTGTCCTCTGACAGCCAAGCACCAAAGCTTCACTAATTGTGTCAGTTTGTACAGAAAACATGCAACCTTGAGAGCGATGCAATTGGAGAAAGATGTGAGGAAGTTGTGAACAGAGAATGGATTTCTGAATGGCTGACATGGAGTCAGAGGGTAGAGTGAAACACTTAAAGAACTGTGTGTTCCCCAAGGACGCCCAGCTAGGTGGCTGACTTAGCTGTCCTGGATGAACAGGTGACGGTCAGAACCATGCTTCCAAGCCTTAGCTCTATCACTGCTAATCTCAGTCCTTTGACAAGAGCTTATTACGGGTCTTAAGCACCCATGACAATCACATCACTATAGCTCATCACTGTTTAGTTCAAGCATCACGGGCTCACATTTAATGATGTCATTCATGACAGAGTGGCATCACTGTGCTTCCACATCAGAGATATCTGTGATAAACACATAGTCGACAGAGGAGCTGTGCCTAGGACTGTGTGTGCCCCACTATCACAGCTGGGGTCTCTGAAGTACACTGAGTGGGTTTGTTCCTTCTTTTCTGAGTCTTATGGACCCAAAGGAATGTCCAGCACAGGTAAGAATCATGAGGATGATAGGACAGAAGCTCCAGCTTCGACCTCTTCCTGAAGTCACCTGCCTTCCAGCTTCGACCTCTTCCTGAAGCCACCTGCCTTCCAGCTTCGACCTCTTCCTGAAGCCACCTGCCTTCCAAGTTACCTTCAATGACTCTGTCCGATCTGAGAAGTATCAGTCTCAGTAAAGATACACCCTGTCACTCCTGAGGACAAGTACAATAGGCAGAGAAATGCAGATAGGGTCACTGGACTGTAGCTTGGCGGCTTCAGGCTCATTATTTTATTTTCATTAAGTTTATTAAAACACAAAAAACTACTGCACGAAGAAATATTCGGAACCAAAAAGGAACTTTAAAATCAGAATTCCCCATCCCTCTTGGAATCACATTAGAACCTTGGTCATTAAGGACATTTTTTGAGTTGAAAATATGTTGGAACTTGAGGATTCAAAGAACTCATGTAAGTTTACTATGTATATTATCTCAGAAGTGTGTGAAAGTAAAATTTCCCTTTTTCTACTTTCCAACTATTTTAATATACACACGTGCACTATACTGCATATATACATCTATACATTATAGGCTAGGATCTGCATATGAGGGAGAGCATGCATCTTTTCTATCTAAAATGGTCTGAACTCCACTTTTTAGGAAACCAATGTGGGGATTCTGCCAACTTCGAAGTATATCTATCCCAACTATGCATTCTGGAACTGGGGAAATAACCATGGGATGATTTCAGGCTCCCACTGGACCCACTATGTGTTGGACTTCCAACAAATATCCGTTTCTCACCTAAACTTCATAAACCCCCACATTAACTGGAGAACCACAATGTTTTATCAGATCTCTCAGAATACATGTCATCTCAGAACCAGTATCAAAGGGGCCTCAGAAAGTTTGTTTCCTTTTTCCCAGTGTACAGTGACCCTAGTAAAAGTCATAGGTCTCTTTGGGAAGGTTGGTAGAAAGGCTAACAGCACAACTCTTCAGTATTGTGACAAGGTCCTCCCTCAAGGAGACCTGGCCTTCCCTTCATTCAAGGGATTCTGGGTCTGTAAACTGGCTCGAGCCTGGAAATTGGTTGAATGGGACTTCATTCTGTACTGCTACGATCCAATGTAGCCTCTCTGTAATTTGTTCTAGCCCTTTTCTGCTTATACAGATCAAACAAAAATTAGTAGGCTTCCTATGTATTTGGTCCCAGGAAAGACTGTGATTGATTAGACGGGACAAAAGTCCATTCAGGCCATGCTATTTGTATTACTCACTTTTCTCTTGCTGTGTTAGAAGCACTGACCAAAGCAACTTATAGAAGGGAGAATTTATTTAAGATTATGGTTCCAGGGGATTTACAGTCTGTCATGGTGGGGAGGCACGGTGGCATGAGGTGGCTAGAACAGGAGAAGAAAGCAGGACCCTCACACCTTCAAGCAGGCACAGGAGCAAGAGAGTGACTTGAGATTTGGCAAGACTTAACTCTCTAACCTGTCCCCAGTGACGAGCTTCCTCAAGCATAGCCACACCTTCTGAGACCTCCCAACACAACGCCACCAACTGGGGACAAAATTTCCAAATACATGGAGTCCATGGGGGACGTTTTCAATCAAACCACCACACAATGATGGGCGTTGTTTTGCCTTTGCCGTCCATTATGGTGACCACAATCACCTTGAAGAGTCACTGCTGCCACCTGATCTCACTCCTGCTATCACTATCTGTGTTAGGGTTCTCTAAAGGAAGGAACAGAACTGATAAAATGAATAGATATATGAGGCTTTATTGCAGTGGCTTACAGGGTAGAGTCTGAGTAGTTCAGCAATGGCTGCACTACACTGGAGAGGCTGGAAATCGGGCAGTTGCTCAGTCCACAAGACTGAATGTCTCACCAGTATCATTTAGTATTTGAAGGCCCGAAGGATTCCTGGAAATCTGCTAGTCTTCAGTCTATGTTGAAATCCAAATAAACTGATTCTACTTTCAGTGAAGGAATGCTACAGGGACAAAATGAACTGGCCAGTGAGAGAGAAGTCAAGCAGGCAAAAAGTGAATGCTCGCTTCTGCCGTGACTTTTTATATGGGCTGCCGTCAGAAGGTAACACCCACGTTTAGTGTGGGTCTTCCAGCTTCGAATAATCTGATCAGGAAGTCTCTCCCATTTCAATTAATCCCAGAGCTAGTCAAGTTGACAACCATGATCAGCCTTCACGATAGCCTTTATTGTTCTGAGTTATGTTCCATCTATTCCAAATGTTTCCAGGGCTTTTATCATGAAGCGTGTTAAACATTGCTGAATACCTTTTCAGCATCTATGGAGGTGGTTATGAGGTTTCTTTCCGTAAGTTTATTATATATTGTATTATACTTAACTGATTTACAGATGGTGAACCAACCTTGCCTGTGTGGGTTGAAGCCCACTTGGTCCTAATGTATGGTCTCCTTAATGTGCTCCTGAATTCAATTTTCAAGTATTTTATGAGAATTTTTGCACTTACGTTCATCAAAGAAATTGGTGTGCAGTTTTCTTTCTTGTTCTTTACCTGATTTGGGTATCAGAATGCTACTGGATCTGCACAAGGAGAAATTGGTAGTAAACTTTTACTTTTCGTTTGAAGACTTCATGTGAGCTCTTCCTTGAAAGCCTGATATGTTCGATTTTCTTTGAAGATAGATTTTCACTACAGCCTCTGTCTCATTGTTTATAATGTATCTGCTTAAGTTATTTACATCTTCTGGCTTTAATTTTGGTAAATTATATTTGTTTAGAAATTCTTCTATTTCTATAGGGTTTCCAGCATTTTAGAATGCCAGTTTACTAATAATCTCTTAAAATGTTCCAAATTTGATTGGAGACTGTTCTAATGACACATTTTTAATCTAATTTTGTTAACCTGTATTTTTCCATCTCTCATTTTATCAGATTGGATAAGGATTTTTCAATGTTCTTACAGTTTTCAAAGAGCCAACTTTTCATTTGGTTGATTTTGGGTGATGTTCTTTTAGA